ATTATTACGTATCTATTATATATATATTAGCTTCCTAATACCCAGGAAGCTGCCCACTGCAGATCCCTTTTTGGGAAGCCAGGAGATCTTAATACCCTGTGTATGGCTTGGCCATGCCAGCTGGCCTCATGGCTGCCTTGCATTTGTCACTGCAATTACAGATGATTTTCAGCTACAAACAGCATCTTTTACCTTGTGCTTGCGGCTCTTTCACTCCCTTCCCTAGGAAAATATCAGAGGGTAAAGCAGCTGGGTGTTGGATAATAAGATCACAATCTATTTCAGGAACAAAACCAAGCAAATAAAGAGCCCTAAAAAATCCTAGTGCTTGTCCAAGAGACAAATGGTCATGGGACTGCAGCATATGGAGGGTGATTCTCTGCTATTCTGCAGCCAATTACTTCTTGGATATCACAGACAAAACCCTGCTGGTGTGAATGCATGGGGTGGAGGAGAGCTTGCTTGATAAAAAGCCTAAAATCCTATTAACCACTTCGGATTTGGGAGATGTGGACTCATCAGGGAGTTGAGATCAATTACATACAACCAGAGAGAGGAAACCATGGCCTGGGATCCTTCAGGGTGATGCAGGAAGAGCAGCCAGAGACCCAGACAGTTTCTGATCCTGCTCTCCAGCCGGGAAACGAAGACTTGGGAAGAGGCCCTTCTCCTGCCGAGGCCAGACAAACATCTTGGCAAACCTCTTCAGGACACGTTATGGGGCAGAGGAAAGCAGATGGACAGGCATTTAGGGGTCTGGCAGGAGGAATCTCTGGGCATTTGGCAAAGAGCACTGATTTAGCAGCATTCCCTTCTGCTTGGACACTCCTGCATACTACTTTTGCTTGACAAGGACATTGTTTCTTAGGAGACTTTACCAGAGCAAATAAAAGCATACAGTGCATGGAGTTACCTTCCAGAAGCTGACAAACCTTCATTAACCTGTCATCTGTTATCATGAATCAAATACATCCTCACAAATACCCATATAACTTCTCTCCCTTGTGCAGGGAGGTCTGTACCCCTTGCTGTAAGGTTATATTAAAAATGTTGCAGTGGCAGCTGTGGGTTTTGGAATGGGAATGCAGGACAGGATAATTTGTGCAGGATCAACAGAAAAAGTTGTCAGGCCAGTGTGGTTTTATTGCACAAGAGGCATGTTGTACTCTTCATGATGTCCTGTACATCTTGTGTTCCTCAGAAGACTGTAGTAGTGTTTACTGACTGATATCAGGGCTGTATTGTGCCAGGCAGTGTTGAAATACAGGAAGGGAAGGAGCCTGCTCCAAGCATTACTGATCCTTATTTTACAGGAGGAAAAATGACTCCAGAAGAGCAGGATGACTCCCACTGCAATATTCAGAGGTTCCTTTGGAAGAGATGAGATTTGAGCCAATTTTTTTTTTTGAATACAAGCTCTTCATCTTTGCCACAGAGCAGTTCATTTTCCCTAAAGCACATGGCAGGAAGACAGAAAAGGCAGGCACTGAAGCCCATCTGAGTGCCAGTCGCTTTTTGTCTTAGGCACCCCTTATTCCTTTCTCTCAGTGTGATGTCTGATATGCCCTCAATTGGAGGACTATTTCTAATGCTTTTTTTTCCTCTGAGCTGGTAGAGAGATGATCCACTTCCACACATGGCCCGGGGGTTGCAGTGTCATCAGGACTAACACAGGAAACCGCCAGGTTTGTAATTAGTCCTGCAGTGTGCAGCCACTGCCCAAAATTTCCTTTCCCCTCCTTCACAGAGGCAACAGTGACATTTCCCTGCTGGCCACAAGGCTGAAGCCTTTGCTTTCCTTTACAGCCACTCTTCAGCTAAGTATACCGCACCCCTGAAAACATTCAAGGCCAGGCTGGACAGGGCTCTGAGCAACCTGATCTGGTAGAACATGTCCCTGCTTACTGTGGGGGTGGGCTTGAACTAGATGATCTTTAAAGGTCCCTTCCAACCCAAACCATTCTGTGATTCTATTGAGGATGCTCTTAATAAATATAACTCCCCACAGCACCATCGGTGAGATGGAGGCCACCCCTCACAGAAAGAAGTTGCTCCTCAGTCTGTGGGGTCTGACTGCCTCATGAGGATTGTGGCTGTGGTACCCTGGGGATGAACGGGGTGAACCACGAGAGTCCAGGCAGTGTCTCCTAAGAGGTTCAGTGTGTGGTTAATACCCGTAAGTTGATCACAAGGGAGCTGTATGGAGACTCCAGGCAACATCCTAAAGCACCAGCCTTCCCTATGCAATCTCAGATGGATGTCCAGCACCATTGTGCATGGTGAGGGGCAGTGAAACGCTTTTCATCTTCAGCCAGCACTTTAACAGTCCTGCTCATGCCCCAAAGGTGTGAGTTTGTATTTAGTTCTGGGTTCATACCAAAGGCTTTCCAGTCTGAATGGCAAAATGCAGAGTCCTGTGCTGCTTCCAGGATATCCCAACACTTGAGTGAAAACAGCAATGTAGAAATGTAGACATGTTTTTATTGTAAGTTACATATGGGACTCTCATGCCCTGGCAGCTCCAGACCTAGGGGAGACCTCTCTTCTCCTTTGGAGGGGTTGATGATATGGATCAGTGCAAGCTGCTGTAAGGGGGGAATTAATCTTCCTTATTATGAATCTTTGCATGTATCTGTGAGAATAAAATGTCATTAATTAGACTTTCAAATCATTCTCAGATATTGAAATCACCTAAACTGCCAGCATTAATAAGACATAAAAGTAACAACTTAGACAAGCTCCAAATGAACTCACCGCCAGAGGTGAGTATAATAATTCAGGTCACTGTACCTAAACACCTATTTAATCCTTCTCTTGTGCAATTGCTTAGAACAGGATGTCATGAAAAGCAGCCTCTTTGCATCTGCACAGATAGTTCCAGGCTGTTTCCATCATGCAGGGACTGAACAATCTTGAACTTGCACCATCAAAACAATCATGGGCAGGACAGCACCAAACAGCTATTCATCTCTTCCAGAAAGAGCCCTAAAATTGTCCGATGACCTGATTTTCATGCTTTGTTCTTCTTCAGAGATAAAGCAGATGGAGGATAAGGAATCAGTTTCTACAGGTGAGCAAGACCTGGGGTTCTGCATCAGAGCCCACATCTGCCTCCCGGTGCAGTGTCCCCTTTCGGGGGTAGTCGTGGCCAGCGCAGCTGACAGAGCCCCTCTTCAGGACATGTCTGGTATTTGCTGTCAGCATGAAGAGTCCTTCATCTTCTCACCACTGCTTAGAAGTTTGATTTTTCTCAAAGCACAGGGATTCTCAGGTAGCCCTTCACAGTCTCACCAACACTCTCAGGGTAAATGCTGCATTTCAGCATTACAGCTTTGAATTTAGTTTTTAATCTTGCTAACTTACTGGTTTGGGGAAAACCCCCTGCTAGTGAACCACAGAGTTTGGGTTGGAAGGGACCTTAAAGCTCATCCAGTTCCAATCCCCTGCCATGGGCAGGGACACCTTCCACTAGACCAGGTTGCTCCAAGCCCCATCCAACCTGGCCTTGAACACTGCCAGGGATGGGGCAGCCACAGCTTCTCTGGGCAACCTCTGCCAGGGCCTCACCTCCCTTACAGGGAAGAACTTCTGCCAAAGAGCTCATCCCAATCTCCCTTCTGTCAGGTTAAAGCCATTCCCCCTTGTCCTGTCCTTACAGGCCCTTGTCAAAAGCCCCTCTCCAAGGTTCTTGTCAGCCCCTTTAGGCACTGGGAGCTGCTCTAAGGCCTCCCCAGAGCCTTCCCTTCTCCGGGCTGGACACGCCCAGCTCTCTCAGCCTGTCTCCATAGCAGGGGGGCTCCAGCCCTCGGAGCATCTTTGTAGCCCTATGCCAGGATCTGTTCTCTGGACCCCAACTTAGTCTGGCGATGTGAGCTGCTCCCTGGCATTGCCTGGGTCAGTACTGCCTGCTGCAGACCACATCCCTGCCTGCATCTCCGCCAACAAATTCAGTGTGGACACTGGAGTTTCAGCTGTGCCCAAGCTCTGCGGCTTTCCTAACAGGGATGGGCTTTACAGTGATAACCCAGGGACAAGCTGTCGAGCTTATACTGATTCTCTGCCGCCTCACCCCTGCCTGTGGGATGGTGGCAGTGTCACAAGGGAAGTTCAGGTTAGATCTTAGGAAGAAAGAAGTTGTTCCCTGTGAGGGTGGTGAGGCACTGGCACAGGGTGCCCTGAGAAGCTGTGGCTGCCCCGAGAAGCTGTGGCTGCCCCGTCCCTGGCAGTGTTCAAGGCCAGGTTGGAAGGGGGTTGGAGCAACCTGGTCTGGTAGGTGTCCCTGCCCGTGGCAGGGGACCCCCATGTCCCATTTTAAAGAGCTGCTCCCCAGCCGGGCAGAACGCAACCTGTGCTGCACTCCTGGGTTGTGCTTACCCAGGTGCAAGACCCGACACAACGGTAACTGGGATCCTCGGTGCGCTGCTGGGCCTCCCCTGGGAGCTGGGCTGCCGCCTTTCACCCGCTGCTGTCTATAAACGGAAGATCCCGGGTGATGCCCACATGGAGGGGGCTCCCCCGCAGAGCGGGGGGCAGGCAGCTTGAGTGGAACACCGCTACTGCCGGGTGCTCCTGGAGGAGAGCCGCCTGTGCTGCTGAGGGCATTTAGGACACGCGGGGCTGGGGCGGCAGCTCTGAATTTGGGACCTGTTCTACGAGCAAGCGAGGAGCCGCGGCGGGCACCTCTGCACAGGCCGCGCGTCGCTCCAGGCAGGTTCTGCCGACTGCCTTCGTGTGCAGCCACTGTCACCAGGGCGCTTCAGCGGCAGAGACACCCCGGCTCTGCGCGGCTGCCCGCTCCTTGCCGGCGTCCGCGCTGCCCTCCGCCAACGCTGGCTCCGCTCCTCTGCCCTCTCCCTGCCTCCACCACCGCTTCCCCGCTGCCCCTCACTGCTGCCCGCCCTCACCGCCCCGCCCATTCCTCCCCGCTTCCCCATCCCCATTGGCTGCTCTCCGATGAGGCCCCACCCCGCCTCCGGCGCCGCTCCTCCCCACACGCCCGGTGATCCCGCGGAACGGTTGCGGTGGTGCCGCGGGGCGCGACGGGCTTTTAGCGGCAGCGCCCTTTCCGGTAAGGCGGACGGGCCCCATCGGAGGGCGGGGATTGGCTCCGGTGCATCACGTGAGCTCTCAACATCCGGCGACGGCCCGTGGTGTTCCGGGCTGTGCCGCTGAGGGGGCACGTACCGGAGCGCGGCGGGGCGAGGGGGTCGCGGGGCGACTCTGGGGCTGCGCTCCCACCTCGGCCTGCCCGCACGCTCCCCTGCCGCTGCCTTCCGGGCGCCGAGCGGCTGCGGGACCCCACAGCCCCCGCTCTCGGTTCGGCGCTGCGCCGCCCACGGGGAAAGTGGCCCTGGGAGAGCGCCGGCCTCCTCCGAGCGGGCTCGGAGCTGTCCCTCGCTCCGCGCTTCCTTCTCCCCGCAGCGTTTCCCCACCCTGCGAGATGGGATCGCCCTGCGGGTAGTGCCGGTGCCTGCCCGCGGTGGCATAGCGCTGCGCCGTGACCCTGTTCTCCCTTCTGCTCCTCTGCGTGCTGCTGAGGTTACCCCCATTCTCCCCAGCACGTTTTTGTGGCTTACCGTTTGCCAGCAAGCATGGAGTTTGCGGAGCTGATCAAGACCCCCCGAGCGGACAACGTGGTCCTGCACCGCCCGTTCTACTTGGCGGTGGAGGGGACTCTGTGTTTGACTGGCCATCACCTCATCTTTTCTTCGCGGCGTCATGATAACGCTGAGGAGCTGTGGCTGTTGCACTCCAACATTGATTCTATCGAAAAAAGGTATGATTGCTCGTTTTCCTGCCAGATCGTTTGTGTCTCGGGGCTGAAAAGTGGTTGTCAGGACTGGCCTGCACCTTGGCTGTCTCGAATCGAGGTTTAGAGAGAAAAAAGGACGATCAGAGCACAGGCCAGAATACTGGCATGGGCAGTTAATTAATTCTTATTTTGGGGTATTGTTGCTTGACAGTTTTTTTTGGTCACAGAGTCAGAATTTTTATGCTTAAACACCTTTGTCAACAGTTTTCTGTGTTAATTGTTTAGTGGATTTCATCAGTAGATCTTGAAACACTTGATAAAAGATGCATCTTTGCCACTGTTCAACGGAGGTGGAAGCTGAGGCACTGATGAAGTGATTTCCTTGGGTCACTCACCGCAGCTGATGGCTGAAGCGGACTCTGAACTTTCCCAGCCCGAGATCAGCCTCCTGCTGCTCAACAGCATTATCCCCTTACTTCTCCAACTGCTCATGGAAATCAGTAATGCTTGAACAGCATATTCCTTGTGGGAACAGTGTGGGAGAGCCGAGTTGTAGCTGCAGCACTCTATTCTTTTCCTTGCCCATCCCCTTTTGTTGCAGGCACTTATGGATTAATCTTCCCATCACTTCTGCCTGCTTTACATGTAGTGTTGCCCCATTGTGCTTATGTTGTTGAGTAGCAGTCCCACCCCACCCGGTCATTGTCTTCTGCTTCCTTGTCGTGGTCTTTTTTCAGTTTCACAGAATCACAGAATGGTTTGAGTTGGAAGAGACGTCATCCATTTCCAAACCCCTGCCATGGGCAGGGACACCTTCCACTTGACCAGGTTGCTCCAAGTCCTATCCAGCCTGGCCTTGAACACTGCCAGGGATGGGGAAAAATCAAGCAGCAGCAATTAAAAATATCAGGTTGCCTCAGAATCTGGGAATGGGTGAAGTACTGGGTGCTGATTAAATTTGTTCCAGTGTTCCTGATATCTCGGTGCATTTCTGAGAAATGCTGCGTCTTGGCCTGAGGGTGGAGAGAAGCAGAGCGGTGGAAGCCTTGGGGAATCTGTTCCTGTCTGGTGCTGCTCAGTCATCAGCGTGGTTTGGCCTCATCCTTCTTCCTGCTGGTACTAAACCAGCTGTTGTTTTGAAAATTATTATGGCCAAGCTTTTCTTTTGTTTTTATTTTTGTATGAGCTTAGTTACGGTAGTAATGTGAGTTAATACTGAATAAGCAGATAACACTTGTAAGTCATGGTGAGGGAGCAGCACACTGCTAGTTCAGTATATGATTTATAGCAAGATTAGCTATGCCTGCAGATACTCACAGCCTTTATTACCAGCCCTGGTTTCTAGAAGGTTTCCAGAGTAGACATCTGCCTCCTTGAGAGGAGCATTGTGTGTAACCGCAATGAAGCTTTCCTATATAAAAGGATTAGAATATATTCTTGGTGCTGGGGAGGGTAGAATAACAAGACTCTTAAACTAATAAATGTTGTAGAATGGTCCAGTTTGGCACTACTTCAGGTTATTAGTGCACAACAACTGCGATGTTGTGCCAGATTCATAAAAATACCTTCTCCCACTTTCACATTATGAGTCTTTTGTACAAAACAATGTTTTCCCTGATTATCAGATGGTCATCAAACTGCTTCTTAAATGTTTGTAGCTTTTTAAACAAATATGACCTGTAGGGTTTATTGAGGAGTGGAGCAGTCTCTGGTGATTTCCTATAGTGGTTTTGCTTGACGGAAACACAGCCCTGTTGGTGTGTTGTAGCTTCACTGTGTTATTTCCTTGGAGATGTGTTAAAGAGAGCTGAAGCAAGGGCAAGCCATGTACAGACTGGCTCTGCTAGAGCGGCAGAACCCTTCTGTCAAAAGGCCTGTAGTTCTTCCTTCAGCACTACCCAAATTATAGTTGGTTCTGCATGTTAACCTTTGCCTGCACAGGATAGGTAATAACCTTTCAGCTGTAATAACAATTCCAGAATAAATTACAGGCATCTTCTGTAGTACAGGTGAAGCAACCCAAAGCTTAGCAACAGGTCTCTTGAAGCATGCACAGCCCTGCCTTTCCTTGTGCTGAGGGTCAGGCCATGAAGGACTGAAACTTTGTCCTTCAGGTCTTGCCTGCTTTTGCCTCTTGCATCATCCTGGCTGCTGCAAGCACTGCTGTGATGTCTGGGAGACTCTGGTCCTTTTCCTCAGTTCATTGCTTTATGAACTAAAAGCTACATCTTTCCTGTGAATGCTGGTAGCTAGTTAATGTAAACAAAACACTGATGATTGGGCATCGTCCTTTCTGGTTTGTAAGGAAGACTGGTGAGAGCATCTGTAAGCTGTGTTTGCTCTGTAACATAGAGCTTTTTCTGGGAAACTTGTTTTGTAACCAGCAGTGACCTTAACGTCTCTGAGGTCTCCATAGTACTGCAGGTGTATCAGAAACCAGATTTTCTTGTTAAAGACATCGGAGTGTAATGTAGCCAGACTGAAATGTTATCTTGAACATAAAACTAAACTCAGATGTTTCTAGCAATCCTCAGAGTTTCAGTGCATTACTTTAATGAAACTGGAAACTGCCAGCTGAAGCTTACAGTATTACCAGAAAATAACAACACACCTTTTCTCTTTCATCTTTTAAAGAAAAGCTGGTAGGAAAACCTCCTTTTATCTCATAATACTTACACTTGCACTCACTGCTGCATCAAAGGATAGAATTTCCCCCCCCAAAAAAACCCTTGCAAATACCAAATAAAGAGGTGGTTTTGTTTATTTTTTGAAAGATTATATTGCAGGCAAATTAGTACTAACGGAATTTTGTCTTGTAGACGCATGTTGTAGGAAGATCTGTAATACCTCATCTTACCTTAGATGATCCTGTTCTCAAGAGATGCTTTCTTTGTGTCTTGCTATAGGTTTGTGGGCTCATTGGGTACCATTGTTATAAAATGCAAAGATCTGCGGATTATTCAGCTGGATATACCTGGAATGGAGGAGTGTTTGAATATTGCAAGCTCTATTGAGGTAAGAATTCAAAATATTAAATAACATCTGGGTTCTCAGATCCTGGTCTGACCTCAACCTTAACAGCGTAGCACAGGCTGGAGAGGCTCCTGAGAAGGGCCACAAGCATTGGGCAGCTGTATGAGGAAAGGCTGAGAGAGCTGAGCTTGTTCAGCGTGGAGAAAAGAAGGCTCAGGGGAGACCTTATCCCCATGTTCCAGTATTTGAAAGGTGGCTACAAGGAAGATGGAGACTCCTTTTTATAAGGAGTCACATAGAAAAGATGAAGGGTGATGGGCCCAAGTTACTCCTGAGGAGATTCCGCTTGGACAAAAGAGGACAATTTTTCATAATGGGAACAATCAACCATTGGAATAATCTCCCCAGGTGGACTGTCCGACCCTGGACCTATCTAAGATCCAGCTTGACATGGTGCTGGGCCATCTTGTTGAGCTCATGCTTTACCGAGAAAGGTTGGACCAGGTGTTCCCCGAGATTTCTTCCAACACGGAATTCTCTTGTCGTAGGTTAAGCCCAGCTGGCAACTAAGTACCACACAGCCATTCACTCACTTTCTGCCCAATCCCCAGTGGGATGGGGAGGAGAATCAAAAAAAAAATAAAATCCATGGTTTGAGATAATAAAAGTTTAATAATTGAAATAGTAGTAAAATATAATAATAATCATAGGAAATATATAAAGGAATAAATAAATGATGCACAGTACAATTGCTCACCACCTGCTGATCGATGCCCAGCTCATTCCTGAGCAGTGATTGGCTCCTTCCAGCCAGCTCTCCCTATTTTCTAAACTGAGCATGATGCTCTCTGGTGTGGAATATCCTTTTGGCTAGTTTGGGTCAGGTGTCCTGTCTCTGCTCCCATCCAGTTTCTTGTGGCCCTCCTCACTGCCAGAGCATGAGAGACTGAAAAGTCCTTGATCAGGGTAAGTGCTACCGAGCAAAAACGGTGTTGTTATCAGCGTTATTCCTAGACTAAAGCCAAAACACGGCACTGCACCAGCTGCTAGGCAGAAAATTAACTCTATCCCTGCTGAAACCAGGACATCTATGATTCCATGAACTTTTTTTCCATTTAGGAAGGCTTTTACTGATGTTCTGGAAGCAAAATGAGAAAACAGCACAAAACACCCCATAAAGAAAACAGTCACCCCAAAAGCCCCAACCCTACTTTTCTTGATCAAATATTTTGCTGTAACATTTGGTAAAATGAAGCTCAACTTTTTTACGTTGGAGCATGAGGACGCAAACTCAAATCAGACCAGTTGAGTTTCATGTGTCTCAATGTTAGGTGATTTCCTGAGTTTAAGCTCTGATTATTTAAGTAATCAGGTAAATGTCATGTAGGATGTGTTTCATACTTGTTCAGTGTATATCTTTCTCATCCTTTGGGGTGTTGTTACATAGTGAAGCCTACAAAAATTATATCCTGTACAGACCTCCAATTGCAGTTAGATTGCTATAACCTGCTTTTGTTTGTGCTACTAAGTTTTATGTGTTTTAAAGTACCTTGCTGGTAATTTAATAACTCAAGCTTAATGGCTGTATGCTTTTGGGTGTCTTAAGTTTGTATCACTGATATTAGAGGAAAATACTATTTGATGTATGGTTTTTTTTTTTTTAAATAAGATAGCAGATTGAATGAATTAAGTAGCTGTTTATTTCTCTTCCCTGCACAGGCACTTTCCACCCTGGACTCTGTCACTCTCATGTATCCCTTCTTCTACCGGCCCATGTTTGAAATCATTGAAGATGGCTGGCGCTCTTTTCTGCCTGACCAAGAATTTGAGCTTCTCAGTTCAGTAGTAAGTTGGATCTTAAGGGTATGTGTAGGTACTAGGATATGCTTGTGCAAGCAGTGAAGTTTTTCACTCAGTAGTGTCTGAACTGGAAATTGTGGATGTTAAAAATAGCTGTCTGGTGTCTGGGTGAAATGTGTGTTGTTCAAATACTCTGTAAACATCAGACGCTTCTGTTTATGTGCTGAATATTCCTGTTTAGCACTTGTGTTTCACCTTGTACAAATGGAGTTTTGAGGCCTATTTTAAAGTTCCAGCCTTCATGTCCTCCCAGGTAAATGTTTTTGTCCTTTGGGGATGGCTCTCCTTATTGTGAGAAGAAATTAAGCACCTCTGGCCTGGGTTTGTTGTACTTAGCTTTCATCCCACTCTGCTTCAGATGCAGTCTTTGTCAACCCCTTAGTTGATATGAGGCTGTTCTTAAAAAAATCACTAAGGATTTCTTGGCTTTCTAGGAAGATGCCTAATTTGAAACACTCTCAGCTCTGCTTCATGCTGGGGAAATACTGGGAGGGTTTAGAAAGCAGGAAATTTCCAGTCCTGTTCTTCCAGGTGCTGTAAGCAGTTGCTGGTATTATTTTGGTACCTGTAGGGTAGGAATTGTTCTTGTGGCATTGCCTGTTGTATCTGTTATTCAAACTTTCATTCTAGGATGCTAAATTCGGTGTAGTGGGAGTTGACTGAGTGTAGGAGCCAATCTGTTTTAATAGCGCTTTGGGTTAGCATCTTTATGTTCCAGGTCTTTGTTTCACGTTAAATATGTGCACTTGCTGCATCATCTTAGGTTTCTGAGACCATGTCCATTAGTACAGCACCAAAGAACATTGATTTTCCTTTTCTTTTATCTGCAACCCAGCTTGTCTGCAGCATTTATCATTTCCTGTTTATGACTAATAACTGAATAATATGATTAGCTTGACCAGATTCATATGATGAGATCACTAGAAAATTAAAGGAATTGAGAGATGTTTCTATTTTTGGCTCATAATTAGAGTACTCTCACATGGCCTATCTTCACCTGCTGTCAAAAGACATGCAAACTGACCTGTTAAAATAACTAGCACCACAGTTTCAGCTTTAATTTCAGCTGGGGAAGTCAAATGTGATCAGTGTATCCTGATCTAGAAGCGGCAGATGCTTTCCCAGCTCAGCAGAGGAAGCTTGCAGGCATTTCAATGAGAATCAAAAGGCCAGAAACTGGAGTGCTATCTGGTGAGAAGGGAGGAGTATGAGAGCAGGATTGGAGGCACCAGAAGGAAATCCTTCAGAGCTCAAGGGAAGATTGCAGGAGATGGTTCTGCTTCTGTTTGTGTTTTGTTTTCTGTGCGTAGCTGAAATAGTTCTTAGATTTTAGGGATCCAATCACTTCTCATGGCTGCATTTACTAGCATGATACCAGGGGTAGCATGGCTTAAAAATGCATGGGCACCTTATTCGTAAATGTCTTGGCTTTCTGTACATACATTCCTTGGAAGGCTTGCATTTAGAAACCTGATTACTCTATAGCTCTGCATTTCAAGGGCAATAATTTTAAAATATGTGTGTCTGATGGATGTTGGTTAATTCCTGGCTTTTAACCCAAACTTCAGCTGTAACTCCCTTTTTAACAAAATGGTGACAACAGCTGTCATAGAATGGTTTGGGTTGGAAGAGACCTTAAAGCTCATCCAGTTCCAGCCCCCTGCCACAGGGAGGGACACCTTCCACTAGAGCAGGCTGGTCAAAGCCCTGTCCAACCTGTCCTTGAACACTGCCAGGGATGGGGCATGTTCAAATGATTTATGTTTCCTGAGCAACAGATAAATGTATTGTTGACCAAATATTTCTTCTTCTGTAATTAAACTGTCATATGTGACAAGCTAGAACAAGTAAATGGTTGATTTATCTTTTTTATCCCATAAGTCAGATGAGTAGGATACAGAAGGTTACTTCCCTCTCCATTAAATCATCTGTCTGGATCTGTTATTCCTTACCTTCCCCAATATGTTAACAACTTCTTAAAAACAGCGTTTCAGCCACACTGCAACTGTAGTAATATAGTTATTCCAATTTGTCTGCTACAGAAGAGTTGTTTTTAAACTGACACATTCTATAATGACAAAGTAAAACTATAAAAATTAAAATCTAAAAAAGTTCAGTAGTACATTAAAAATCAGACAATATATTATGTTGTTATAATTTATTACCATAATTTAAATGTTTATGCCTTGTGTTACCTAAAGGGAGCTTACAAGAAAGCTTGAGAGGGACTCATAATAAGTAGTGATAGACAAAGGGGAATGGCTTTAATCTGACAGAGAAAAGATTTAGGTGAGATCTTAGGAAGTTTTTCCCTGTGAGGGTGGTGAGGAGCTGGCACAGGCTGCCCAGAGAAACTGTGGCTGCCCCATCCCTGGCAGTGTTCAAGGCCAGGCTGGACAGGGCTTTGACCAGCCTGTTCTAGTGGAAGGTGTCCCTGCCTGTATCAGGGGGTTGGAACTGAATGAGCTTTAAGATCCTTTCCAACCAAAACCATGCTTTGATTCTATGATTATCTTGGCATATGTTGTGCCAAATGTGTTTTTCATACAGCATATGTACCCCTTGCACAATTTCACTCCATTGCATTGATCTGACAAAGTGTCATCTAGTGTTGTCTCTAGAATTTGATAGCAAACACTTGAGCACTTTGTCCCTGTGCTTACCTCTGGCATTAGGGACGCTGCTGTACTATCGCAAAATTCTTGCATTTAGTGCATGAAGGTGTTAAGAACTGTAAGGCTGTCTTTGGTCTAAAGGAATCGGATTAATTAAATTTCAGTGGGCTGTCACTTGCTGATAGCTGTTAGCATGTGTGCTACATGTTTATTTTCTTGGGAATAACCTGCAGCACAGGTCAACAGGGCTTTTGTCAAGTGACTTTCCATGAACTGCTCTTTGGGTAAATCCAACATATCAATAGAGTCGTTCAGCTGAGAAGTAAGTCATATTAAGAAATTGGCTCAATGCTTTACTAAATGTCACAGCAAAACTCTACCAAGCATGCAGGCTCCAAGTTATTGTACTGTGAGATGAGACTTTAATGACACTACAGACAAATACATGAATGGAGTAAAAGATGCATGGGATAGTTCATGTTTGCTCATACAGCTTTATATTGTGTTCTGTTTTTCTTGAGGTACTGGGTAGCACATCAGATCTGGATTCATTATAGGTATGGCAGCTCTTCCTGGACAGTTCAGTTCAGCTGTGCTCTGCTGCACTGGAGCTTCTTATTTTGTCTCTTAGAAGACAAGCATCAATCTCTGCTTGCCTCTGTTATGTTTCCCGTGCATGCACAATCTGTTGCTAATAGGTCTTGTTGCCTTCTGCCTGTTCCTTGAAAATAGCCTCTCTCATTTCTGTTCTGCAGGATCCTTCAAGGTATCTTCTTTCCCAACCCTTCTTTTAAGGCTTACTAGTAGAGTGTCCTGGGTTCAGCAGTAGCAGTCATTTTTCTCCTCCTTGGTAGCTGGTGCAGTGCAGTGTTTTGACTTTCAGCTCGGGAACAGAGCTGATAGCGATGTTTTGGTTTGGCCAAGGACTTTGTGAGCCTCATGCTCTGCCAGGGAGGAGGGGAAGCCAGGAGGAAGCAGAGACAGGACACCTGACCCAAACTGACCAAAGAGGTATTCCATACCACAGCACGTCATGCCCTGGATGTAACTGGGAGTTAGCCGGAAGGGCTGGGGAGTCTGCAGGGTTGGAGGAGGTATGGGTCGGTGCTTGGTTGGGCTGAGGGGGGCAAGTTATCGGTCGGCTGGTGCTGAGGTGTTGTATTCTCTTCCCTTGTTATTTCCTTTATCATTATTATTATCGGTGGTAGCAGTAGCGATTTGTGTTATACCTTAGTTACTAAACTGTTCTTATCTCAACCCGTGGGAGTTGCATTCTTTTCGATTCTCCTCTCTGTCCCTCTGGGAGTAGGGGGGGGGTGTGAGTGAACGAGTTACCTGACTGGGTTTCACACTGTTTTGTGGAAAATGACCTCTCCTAGCAATTTCAGCTTTTAGAAGGAAGGATAACTGGTTTAGCCTTTCAGTAATGTTTGAAAATCTATATATTTAAACAAGTACTAGGACAAGAAAAGCAGAAATGCAAGAGTTAATTTTTCACTGTGTTTAAGAAAATACTTGAGGCTACTTTCTTTTTTCTTTGAAACCCTCTCTCCTTTCTACTCTGCCCCAGTTCTTTGCTGCTTCCAGTCTTAACTGGAATTAATTTTTTCTGATCCCGTAAAGTACAGATTTCTTTCTGGGAGAAGTAAATGTTAACTGTGTGCTTAGAGTTTCCCACAGCATACTGGTGATACCTGAAGATGAGGTCCACCTCTTCTGCTTCACTGCAGTCCTTACTGCTTCTCATATCTGCATCTACTGCATGTAGCTGGATTGCTGTTGCCTTGCTCTTCCAGTTAGTAATGGCAATTTTTGCTTTCAAGTTGCAAGACAAACCCCCAAGCAAAAGCCAAGAAGTGACTTGGACTATGAGGTTTTACTGTCATCTGATGTGTGTTGTAGTGTATTATAGCAGTCTGAAGCTGGCAAGGTTAACTGGGTCTCTGCAAAAGTAGCTGTGATACAGAAGATAAATGGTGCTGATTGTTGCTGTGCTTTTCCTCCTTCCTATGTAACAGTAAACTATCCTTGGGTGACATAACAGTCATCTGTCCTGTAGTTATAAATGGTGAAGAGGGTAGGTTATGGGCAGAGTTGAATTACCAAAATGGGAATAAATCAGGATGATACTCTTCCATTCACAGAATGGTTTGGGTTGGAAGGGATCTTAAAGCTCATCCAGTTCCAATCTCATGCCACAGGCAGGGACATCTTCCACTAGACCAGGTTGCTCCAAGCCCCATCCAGCCTGGCCTTGAACACTGCCAGGGATGGGGCAGCCACAGTTTCGCTGGGCAACCTGTGCCAGGGCCTCACCAGCCTCACAGGGAAGAACTTCTTTGTATTTAACCTGAATCTCCCCTCTGTCAGTTTAAAGCCATTCCCCCTTGTTTTGTCCCTACAGGCCATTGTCAAAAGCCCCTCTCCAGATTTCTTGTTGGCCCCTTTTAAGCCCTGGAAGCTGCTCTAAGGTCTCCCTGGATCTTTTCTCTGGGCAGAACAACCCGATCTGTCTCCATAGCAGAGGTGTTCCAGCCCTCTTACTGTCTTCATGGCCTCCTCTGAACCCACTCCAACAGGTCCATGTCCCTCTTGTGTTGAGGGCCCTGGAGCTGGATGCAGGACTGCAGTTAGGGTCTCGCAAGAATTTCTTCTTATGCTAGTCATATCATTGGCTGCCAGTGTCTCAAAAAGCATACCTCAGAGCTGCGATTTTTCCCTTCTCTACCTCCTATGTAGCAGTGAGGTATTTATCAGTTCTATATCCATGCATATTTTTTCCATTGTAAAAAAAAAAAAGAAAATGCACACCATTGTATGAAATTTGCTGTAATTTAACATAAACACCCTAAAAAGCTATAAAAAATATTACTGGTGAATTAAAAGTATGAGCTCTTAATATAGGACCAATCAGCCTCCCTTATGTGATCCAGAACTACTTTCATCTCCAGCTATGACATGATTGCCAAAGGCAATTTAACTTTGCATCTGGGAGAACCTCTACTTTTTATAAAACATAGATGTCCAGGGAAGCTGTTTTGAGTCTTTTGAATAATTAAATAAACTTACAACAGGGACAATGCAAAACTCCCTAGATAGGCTCCTGAACAGAGGTAGCAACATATGTTCTGGCTGGATGGCCACAAGCAAAGAGTTGTGGTCAATGGCTCAATGTCCAGCTGGAGACCAGTAATGAGTGGTGTCCCTCAGGGATCAGTGTTGGGATTGGTGTTCTTCAACATCTTTGTTGGTGACATGGACAGTGGGATTGAGTGTGCTCTCAGCAAGTTTGCCGATGACACCAAGCTGTGTGGTTCAGTTGATACCCTGGAGGGAAGGAATGCCATCCAGAGGGACCTTGACATGCTTGTGAGTTGGGCTGATGCCAACCTCATGGAGTTTAACCATGCCAAGTGCAAGCTCCTACGTCTGGGTCAGAGCAATCCCAGGCACAGCTACAGGTTGGGCAGAGAAGAGATTCAGAGCAGCCCTGTGGAGATGGACTTGGGGGTGTTGGTGGATGAGAAAATGAACATGAGCCGGCTTCAGTGTGCACTTGCAGCCCAGAAAGCCAACCGTGTCCTGGGCCGCATCAAAAGGAGCGTGAGCAGCAGGTCGAAGGAGTTGATCCTGCCTCTCTACTCTGCTCTTGTGAGACCTCACCTGGAGTATTGTGTGCAGTTCTGGTGTCCTCAACATAAAAAGGACATGGAAGTGTTGGAACAAGGCCAGAGAAGGGCCACGAGGAATGGTCAGGGGACTGGAGCACCTCCTGTATGAAGATAGGCTGAGAAAGTTGGGGCTGTTCAGCCTGGAGAAGAGAAGGCTGCGTGGAGACCTCATAGCAGCCTTCCAGTATCTGAAGGGGGCCTATAGGGATGGTGGGGAGGGACTCTTCATTAGGGATTGTAGTGATAGAACAAGGGGTGACGGTTTAAAATTTAAACAGGGGAAGTTCAGGTTAGATATAAAGAGGAAGTTCTTTATTGTGAGGGTGGTGAGGCACTGGAATGGGTTGCCCAGGGAAATTGTGAATGCTCCATCCCTTTCGTTGTTCAAGGCCAGGTTGGACAGAGCCTTGCATGACACTCTATAGTGGGAGGAGCCCATGGCAGGGGGCCTGGAACTAGATTATCTTAAGGTCCTTTCCAGCCCTAACTATTCTATGATTCTATGATTCTTGATGACTGTAATGCACACAGCGTGTGCCTTTCTCAGCATCTTTTTCTTAGACTGCTGCCAAAAGGTACACTTCTGCTGTCTCCTATGCCACACATTCCATGTGTTGCATCTACTGATGATGAAAGTATTGTGAATCGCATCAGCTTGTCCATCTGATGGAAGGACTTCATTGCCAGCAGACCTTTCCAAGTTGATCCTAGTTCTCCAATGGGCCAGTGACCAAGTCATATTTATACAACTAGGTACCAGTTAGGAGCTATAAGGCAAGAGGTTGTAAGGCTCTAGAAGAAAGGAAGGAGGAAGATACACACATATTTGTGATCAAGCTATGTAATTAATGCCTGCTAAACCAACCTTCCTGAATTCATGTGGGGTTTTGTGTATTCTGTTGCCACATAATTTAACTGTTACGCTCTTCTCTTACTTTCTGTGATATCTGCTTTATCCTCCTACCTTTTTGTCTAACTGAAACTTTCTTTGAACACAACTGAGCAGAGTTTTTTATGAGAACTGAAGTCTCTGCCTACTGCAGTGGCATGTCAATGTTTTCTGGTCTGTACCAAAAACACTTCAGCTGAGGAGTGAGTTAAGGTCTTGTTTACTCTGTCACACTTGTGTCATGTTAAAGCACAGGAACTAAGAGGAAAATAACCCAACTGCGTTGAAAATAGCTGCCTGTTCCCTTTTCAAAAGATTTTTGTTTCCTTTAAGCTTCATTGTTCTGGAACTTTTATAGGTAAATTTGACTGCTATTCTGCTGCTACTTTTAAGAATTTAATGCTGCTGTTAAAATCAAAACATGCTGTAGAGGCTTCTGGGTCATTTTCCTCACCAAAGCTTCTGCTAGCAGGTTCTGTTTGCCTTAAGAAATACCTGATAAGGATGCACTGACTGATGCAGCCCAGCCAACCCGCTGTCCTGCTATTAAGGACCATGAGCAAAGTTTGTGCCAAACTTTAGGCAAGGTTTTGCTGTGTAATATGCTCCCCTGGGAAAAATATATGCCTGTGGCCATCTGATGTACTTGAATGATGTCCTTAATGCAGGAGGCAGTGGTGTGGTACCAGCCCAGAAGGAGCAAGCCCTCCACGAAGGCTGGGCCTGTCTGAGGATGCAAGTTAGGGCAGCTCTTCCCACTTGTACCTCAGTAAGTGAGGACTCCCTATCAGTGAGGCTACTGACTGACCTCTGGTTTTGCCTGAGATGGGGCAAAGTCTTGTGTCTGACCCTGGGTATCAAGTAACCTGAGTTCTCATGCCAAGTGCTTCTTAGGGTGCAGGGTACCAATATTCACTTCTTTCACAAGTGTTTGACTGTTGGAAATTGAAAAATTATGCGAGAGTTTATGATGAGACCTGTGTACTTAGATGCTGTGCTTGGTGCCAGGAAGTGCTTTTGGATGAAGAGCCATAATGCTTTACATAAAGCAGAGCCCATAGAAAAGAACCAAGCTAGGAATGTTTAACTGAAATTTTAATCTCCAAGCAGCTTCAATCATCTGGAATTGGTGGACATTCTTGCCTTTTTTTGCTATCTTTGTCTTGTGGATAGTGTTACCAACTCTGCTTTCAGCACAGGTAGAGGTTTGAGCCCATGTTACCCCAGTCTAAATCTGCTTATGTGGCAATACATTTCTGTTCTGGGTTTGCTGAGAGATAGGCATGCCATGTTCTTAATTCCTATGAGATTGAAGCTATCTGCAAATGCAGTTATGTTGTAGTGTGCACTGCAGACAGGCTGCCTGCTGTGTCTGAAAGAATTAAAAGCCACAATCACGCATTTCTGACCACGTGGGCTTATTTTGTGCTGTTTGTTGAGGATGTGGATAAACCAGATGGGGAATGAGCCATTGTTCAACAAGTCCTGCACCTCAAGGAGTAGAGCCACCTGATGAAGCTCAAAAGCAACAGAAGAAGTTATCTGCACACTGGGTAATGAGCTTCTGGGAGCTGCTGCAACAAGATAATGTGATTGCAGCCAGCATCAGGAAGTGTGGGGAAAATAATTACTCAACAGACCTATAAATGGATACTAAAAGGATTAGGCAGGAATATACCTTCTAATATCTATAATACGGCATCTGAGAGATAGGGGATGAGTGCACCGCAGAGAGTGGGTGGGCTTCTTTGTTCTTGAATAGCTTCTCTTTTGCCAGTTTTTTTGTTGGAGACAGGATAACGGTGCTGGGTTTGATCTGACCGGTTAGGGTGGTTATGGTATTAAAGGGGATCCAGATTCCTGCAAGAACAAACATGGTTATGCCAGTAGTGACAATTGAACTTTCATCTGTGGTGCAAGTGGAATAGGTAGGTGATAAAACTGTGAACATGGAAGGTCCAATTCCCTAGTATGCAATGCTGTCATAATATTTCTGACCCAAAGTCTTGTGTATTCTGATTTCTTTCAGACAGATGAATGGCGTCTAAGCTGCATCAATAAGGATTTCTCTGTCTGTCCATCCTACCCTCCAGTTGTCATTGTCCCCAAATCCATCGATGATGAAGCGCTTTGGAAAGTTGCCATGTTCCGCCATGGCAGTCGCTTCCCAGTCCTCAGCTATTACCATAAGAAGAATGGGATGGTAAGCTGCATTTGAGTAACGATTCTACCAGAAGGAAGTATGTGAATCTCTTTGTTTAATAAAAGCAAACTTATGCTCTAGACTTAATATAGTTCATGAGATGTTCACTTAGTTTATTTTCCAAGTTACTAGGTGTTTGCAGTGAAACTGGTTCTGGGTGATGGAATGAGTAATCTCCATCCTAGTAATAGCTCTTAATCTACTTACTTATGGAGCGTATGTGGCATGAGCTTGCTCACAGCAGGAAGAGCAAGATGAGACTTGTAAAGCTACCGCTGGCACCCTTACTTGTTTTGTCTGCCAAGAGGCTTCATGCTGAAAGGATGGCAGAAACCACATTGTCCTGTCGCGGGGTGGTGGGCTGTCTCCTTCGTAATAGTCATGATGACAGCGAGCGTGCCCACAGCCAGCACCGCTTCTGCTGTGATCAGTACAATCTGTTCCTGAGCCTGTCAGTATAACATGTTTCAGGAGTATCAAACTCTTGTTGTTGCACAGACTTCACCACCTTCCGACAAGCCAAAATGTAATTGAGTGTCTGATACGCTATAATTAGGAAATGCACTTTATGAAATTGTTGAGTAATTCTGTGTATCTTCTGCTGAGGTGCCCAGTTCTGAGGATGTTAGGATGTCCAGCCTGCGGCTTATAAACTTGATCCAGGCTTCTGAGTCAAATACTCTAATGTCTTCTCTCCTCCTGTTGCCAAAATTGTTAAGCTCTGAATTAGAAGACATGTAGTCTGACCTAGCAGTACCTTTGTGCTTTTTTTACTTTGCTTTAAAATCAGCCTTTCACCAGTTTCATAAGTTGTGCTTTCTGCTTTTTCTCAGCCTGACTGAAAACCATTAAAGGAAGATTTATTCCATTATCTCTCTGGATTGTGTACTTCTCAAGTTATGAGGAATATAATAGAATTTGGCTAGAAGTGCTTGAACCTGTGACAGTAATGCTTCCGGCCCTGCAAGGGTTGTGCTTAAAAAAACTGAAGGATTCAGGGCAAGGGAGAACAGCAACTCTAGGAAGAGCTAGAGGGACATTTTCTGTGCAGCAGTCAGTGCAGATCATGGTGTTCACTTGTCTGTGTCCAATCCACTTGTCTGGTGGATTGAACTTGAAGCAGATGGAAGCAGGAGGTGCAGTGGGGTGAGAGCTGCACTTGCTGGTGCAACTCCACAAAGAAATGCTGGACATCCAGGAGGACCCCACTTGGATTTTACCTCTGAACTGATGGAGGAAGCTTTTTTTAAGATTGATCTATCTCACTCCTATAAGCATTATTACAATGGTCTGAGTTGTAAAGGAAAACAGGAGCATGCTGTATGAATTTTGGCAGCAAGCCTCTCTAGAGCTGTTCTCCATGCCTGGAATGGAGATTTGGTGAGGTATTTCATCAGTTTGCAGTCTACATTTACAGACCCCTAAGAAATCCTCTGGTGAAGGGGTGCCCTTTGTGTAGTGAGCGTAAATCTCTATTTTTGGCTTGGAGCCCAATTGATCAATTTCTTTCAGTCTTAAGTCTCTCCATTTCCAGTGCCTGATTCATGGTTCTTTGTCTCTGCAGGTCATGATGCGAAGTAGCCAGCCTCTTACAGGTACGAATGGGAGACGGTGTAAAGAAGACGAGAAGCTTATTAATGCCACCCTACGGCCTGGCAAACGTGGCTACATCATTGATACCAGGTCCCTGAATGTTGCCCAGCAGGCCAGGGCCAAAGGAGGGGGCTTTGAACAAGAAGCTCACTATCCCCAGTGGAGGAGGATTCACAAATGTATTGAGAGGTGGGTGAAATCACGCAGTCTTGGCTTTGTAGGGTTATATTGGCAGATCCATGCTAGCTCCATAAAGTATTTGCTTCTGTAAGAAGTAGCTCTGAATCCTGATTCCTGATTTTTTTTTTTTGCAAAATCGGGGTATGTGGATGATTGAAGTATTTAGCTTCAAAGCTGTGTTTGGTTCCTTGTTCTGATCAGCCTGCTGCAGGTTTCAGACATTAGGTAATTTCCTCATGCCATCTTTTTCTCTGACCATCTGTAGCTGCACTCCAGCCTTCCTGTGTTCCACTTTGCAGTAGTGCACAGGAATGAGCAAGTACCTTGTCAGAAAACTTCTGCAGGTGAGGATTTGCTCTGTGGCAGTCACCTTCCTCTTATCCAGTAATTTTCTCTGGACGTCTAGTTTTGTTTAGTCATTTTGGGACAAGATACTAAGTTAAATAGACTTTTAATCTGACTTTGTTCAACTGCTCTTAGTTCTGGTGAATCCTTCTACACAGTCATGCATTAATATTACTGGAGCTGTTGAAAGGCCCTAGTGTTGTAATGCCTTATGAAACAATTTGTTCTGAAAGGTAAGAGGCTGCTTATGTCCAAAGAGTAGTGTTCTGCTGGCAGCTAGCCACGGTGAGGCTTTACCAGCAAGAGCAGGTTTGCTGAATGAGGAGATACGACTTCTATATAGGGTCAGTCTGAAATAACTGTATAAAATCATAGTGCTTTATTTAGAGATCAGTTAAGCACATTGTCCTGATGGCTATGTTACTGCTTACATTTTCAGTAATATTTTGCTTTTCCCAAAGGTTTAACATTCTGCAGGAAAGCCTCATCAAACTTGTGGAAGCTTGTAATGACCAGTCGCACAACATGGACCGCTGGCTCAGTAAACTGGAAGCATCCAACTGGCTGACTCACATCAAGGAGATACTAACTGCAGCTTGCCTAGCTGCTCAGTGTATTGATAGGTACATCTTCAGAAAGCCTTGAGTTTCTCATTCACTCAATACAGATTGCTTGTTAAATATCCTTATTTCCACTTTAAATACTAGTGATGACCACCATGAACTGCCTTGTACCCATGCAAGATGCTGTTTCGTCATGGTTCAGGAATGTTCCTCCAATAAATCCTGCTTGCATTTTTAGAAGTACAAGCCTGAGGGAGGAAATATTGACTAAACATATAAATATAGATAATCGAGTTAAGGAGTGTTCCTATGTCTGATGCAACCAGTCTAATTTAGTTAGTTTAATGAAGGTTTTGGTTAGAATGTGCCCATCTGAAATGCTGTTTGGTAGCCTAGTCAAGTGAGAACACAGAGGGTTTGTTTTTTTAAAGTAATCTGGTTTTAGCTGAAAGTTTCCAATACCTGACTTCTGGAGATGAAAACAGTGGTGTTTCCTTGTTTTCCTCAGGAGTTAGCCCAGTACTTTTTCCTCTTGATTTTTTTTATCCCCACAGTCTTATCTAAGCAATCCTGTTCATCCTTTGTAAGTGCTTTTACCTGATGTTTCATTGATAAATACTGCTGACTTGGCTGTCTTGTCTTCAGACCACAGGCTGGAGAGCAAAAGCTGTCAGGTGTCAGGGTTTCTAAGACCAAATGTAGAGCTCTAAATGTTGATTTCTTTGTGGCTCTGAGGGGAAAGCCCTTCTCAAAATACAGGGAAAACTTAGCTTTTCGTACCAGCTAGGGAATGTGCTATACAGATACACAAATAGGCTGAAAAGTATCGTTAATGCAGTCTTGCTGTTTTACCAATAAAATAGGAGCTGCCATGCTTTTTAAAAGCACTGACAGTGCCTGTTTAGTTATTGACTGTGTCAGAAAATGATTGCTCTTGATCAATAATTTTATCTGTAATTCTTTCCTGCATGTGTGTAATGGAAGTTGTGTATAATGAGAAAGACTGGTGATGAACTCATCTGGTTTCTTTGGGCAGTGGACAATTTCATCATTTTTGTTAACCTCAGCTTTGCTTTTTCTGTTTACCTGGAGCTATGGCAGGCCAGGTCAGCACTGGTGCCTGGCCTGCCTCACTCAGAGCCTCGAGATCATAGCTGAGCTGACAAGGATGGGTCATTTATATTTGCTGCAGGGAGGGAATGACTGGGACAAATCTTGCAGTATCTTAAAGGTCTGAAGCCTGAAAGATGAAAGGTGAAAACAGTGTTATTCTGGTGTGCCCCACTTTGTGGAGAGCATAGGCTTGCAGTTAGCCTTTGCAATTGTGCTTGGCTGCTAAGCAGCCTCTCTATCTGCCACTGCCTGGGGAAGGAGATAAAGTATATCTGAAGATTATCTATACCTTAAAGGCACTGGGTTTATTTTAGACATAGGACTATAGACAAAGATGTTTCAATCCTTAAGGTATAGATTCTTAGGGTTTTCACTTCAAAAAGCAAGTAATATCTGCAGGGTTACTTGCTTGGTATAAAGATCTTTATTATCCATGCATTGTTGCGTATGTTGGATCTCTGCACAGAAACAAATACAATCTGCAATTAATTTCCTTTCTAGATTTAAGGATGTTTGTGGAACTGAGATACTGGGTCAAAGTTTAGGAAGAGTAAGAGGGATGAAAGGCATTTAATGCCATCCAGTTCTGTCTTTCGGAGCATATAGATGAGATTCTGATACTACATCCAAATACAGCCTAGGATAGAGAAGAAGGGAGGAAATCAGTTGTCCTGGACAGTCCCCACTGTAGGGAGTGATGGAATGTGGGGCCCTAGCAGCGCACAAAACCTTCCTGCCCCAAACTGTCTTGGCTCCTTTTGCCCTTCACATTGTTCTGCTTCACTTGTGCTGAATAGTGAGCCTTTGGGCTTGCCTCTTTGATGAGCTTCCTTGCTCAGCAAACTAACTCTGCTGCCTTTCTGGAGGCCAAGCTCTGCCTTTTCTTTGTTTCTTTCTCCTGACTTGGGTTATTGGTTTATTTTTTTTTTTGGTAAAACCCAGTTGAGACCCAAATGCAATTAAGATTTAAGCAAGGATCTCATAGTATTGTTTTGCACCTGGGGGATGATATGTTTTCATTGCAATGTTTATGGGAATATTTCAGAGTACTTAGCAAAACAATAAATGACACAGGCAAATTCTGAGATGCGTTTCAATGCTATAACTCAAAGGGTTACCAATTCAAAACGGTGAGAACCGCAGAAGAGATCTCGCTGTGCATCTTCTGTCAGCATGGCAAATCCTTGATTTCCAGGATGCTTAGCAAGAAACTAAGACTTAAGTGATGCAGAGCGCTGGTTAGTGTTGGCGAAGATCTTGGGTGGAGAAGGTGGTACAGTTCTATGCAGGGCAGGGAGTAAGCTTATGGGAAGGAAGACTGGGTAAAGAACCAGCAAAACCTCAGCTTTGTCAGGGTAGCAACACTGGTGTCTGTGGGATGTAATGTCATCCATTGGGATGCATATGTCCTTGGGATGTGGTGGGCTCACTCATTCTTTACCACTTTTTTCCTTCCCAGGGAAGGTGCGTCAGTACTAGTCCATGGGACTGAAGGAACAGATTCAACACTCCAGGTAACTTCTCTGGCACAGATTATCTTGGATCCCAGGTGCAGGACCATACGGGGCTTTGAATCTCTTGTTGTGAGGGAGTGGCTGCAGGTAAGACATGCCTATGGACAAAAGGCAATCTATTCCAGTAACGGTTGTATTGAGAAATAGCTTGAGAGGCAGCAGACAGGTTGGGCCTTGTTGCAGGCTTGCTAAGTGTGAATGGCTCTTTGTCCTAAGAGCAACATCATTAACTGAGTCATTTGCACCTTTGGCACTCCATGGGGCTGCTGCCTCTCATGATGATTTGGTTTGGGGGAGCTGCCTGTTCTGCATGCTCAGGGTGAACAGCTCTTTAGAAAACACTGTTCAGACTAAACTACAAAACCTTAGTATTCATTGTACAAAGAAACTAAAAGACTCCTTGTGCTTTTGCAGCTAATATTTTCAGCCTGGTGCTTTGAACCTACACCAGCTTGTTCTTGGTAAACTGATCAAATACAGGGCTATTTACATAGCCTGAAACAGGCAGCAAAGTTGGTCATGGTTGCTAGCAGTCTGTTACCGGATGCTTGGCGAAATTACCATTGTAGAAAAGAGTAGCAGTAGTATAGTTGCATGGACAGAACTAGCTTTAAAGGTTTTTTTTGCTACATGTACTCGCATCCCAGTACTTTGTCTGTGATGCTTTCTCTGATTCTTACCTACAGGCTGGTCACCCTTTTCAGCAGCGCTGTGCCCAGTCAGCCTATTCAAATAGCAAGCAGAAATGGGAGGCCCCGGTGTTTCTTCTCTTTTTGGACTGTGTGTGGCAAATCCTTCGTCAGTTCCCTTGCTCTTTTGAATTCAACGAACGGTTCCTCATTATGCTCTTTGAACATGCTTATGCTTCACAGTTTGGGACTTTCCTGGGAAACAACGAAAATGAAAGGTTGGTTAAGGATGCTTGCTTTGAAGCCCTTAAATATTGGGCTGTATTGGACAAAAGTAGAAAAGTTTCTTAGTTTGAAAAAGGGTGAGGGTGCTTGTGTGGTCTCCCTTAGCACAGGTGAGCTTCTTGTGTTGCAGTTATGTAGTCTGATGCAATATTAGAGAGCTTGTCCCTCTTACAAGTGTTTAAGTGTGACTAAAGAAATCTGTGGCTCAATGTCTTCTCGGAGACCAGTAACGAGTGGCGTCCCTCAGGGATTGGTGTTGGGATCGGTCTTGTTCAACATCTTTGTCTGTGACATAGACAGTGGGATTGAGTGTGCTCTCAGCAGGTTTGCTGATGTCACCAAGCTGTGTGGTTCGGTTGATACGCTGGAGGGAAGGAATGCCATCCAGAGGGACCTTGACACGCTTGTGAGGTGGGCTGATGCCAACCTCATGGAGTTTAACCATGCCAAGTGCAAGGTCCTACACCTGGGTCGGAGCAATCCCAGGCACAGCTACAGGTTGGGCAGAGAAGAGATTCAGAGCAGCCCTGAGGAGAAGGACTTGGAGGTGTTGGTGGATGAGAAAATGAACATGAGCCGGCTTCAGTGTGCGCTTGCAGCCCAGAAAGCCAAACGCATCCTGGGCTGCATCAAAAGGAGCGTGACCAGCAGGTCGAAGGAGGTGATCCTGCCTCTCTACTCTGCTCTTGTGAGACCTCACCTGGAGTATTGTGTGCAGTTCTGGTGTGATCAACATAAAAAGGACATGGAACTGTTGGAACAAGTCCAGAGGAGGGCCACGAGGATGATCTGGGGACTGGAGCACCTCCTGTATGAAGACAGGCTGAGAAAGTTGGGGCTGTTCAGCCTGGAGAAGAGAAGGCTGCGTGGAGACCTCATAGCAGCCTTCCAGTATCTGAAGGGGGCCTGTAGGGATGGTGGGGAGGGACTATTCATTAGGGATTGTAGTGATAGGACAAGGGGTAACGGGTTAAAACTTAAACAGGGGAAGTTCAGGTTAGATATAAGGAGGAAATTCTCTACTGTGAGGGTTGTGAGGCACTAGAATGGGTTGCCCAGGGAAGTTGTGAATGCTCCATCCCTGGCATTGTTCAAGGCCAGGTTGGACAGTGCCTTGAGTGACATGATCTAGGGTGAGGAATTCCTGCTCATGGCAGGGGGCCTGGAACTTAATGATCTTAAGGTCCTTTCCAACTCTAACTATTTTATGATTCTATGTTTCTATGGTCTGAAGGCCATGTTCTATGGAACTGAAGACCACTGAATGAGTAGAAGGGAAAGGCAGAACTGGTATTATGGATACAGAAGGCAATTTAAAACTCCCTATCAACCTTTCTGCCCTTAAAATAAATCTTTGCTGAGAAGAGACTCTTCTGTCTTCTGCAGGGCTGCTGAACTGGTCATCTGCAAAACCAAGTTAGACTTGAAGCCAGTAAGATGAAATTTGAAAGAGTTTAGAATGTTACATATGATAACCTGCCTGTCACATCTGAACATGTCAGCCTGTGATGACAGAAAATGTTTGAAGTCTGATGTTAAGCTTGTGCTGCCTGAAGCATTCATAGGGATGGTGAATCTCCTGCCTGGTGGTAGTTCAACCTGCTAGCGTAAGCAGAATGAGGTCTACCAGAATCTGAGTATTAGAGACCCCTGTGTAACTCCTGGAAGTGGGTTTGACCAAGAGGAGCAGCATCTCTGTGCTCTGATGCTTCCTGCCACCAGAGGGACCTCCTCAGACGTGCCCATTGCACAATTCCAGCAGTAACACTGCTTTAATGTACTCAGAATTGCACTACCATCCTTCCCTGATGCAGACCTGTCACATCCCCCAGCTCTGTGGTTGAACACAGGCGTGTTCATCCTGTGGCTGAACACAGGAGTTCAACCGCTTTCCAAACCTGGCAGTTGAACCACCTTCGGGAGGTGACTTTCTTCATGTGGACAGAAGGCAGCTGACTTCCACCCAGCTTATAAACGTTCTTGCCCCATCCTTTTCTTCAAAACTAATTGTAATCGGCCAGGTTGAATAAATTGTTTTAGGTTTACACCCTGTGCCATGTTGGTGAGAGGTATTGAAGGGATTAGCTTGAATTGCCTGGGCTAGTAGCATATGGAGAAGCTTGAGGCCTTCTAGGTCATCGTGGTTCTGACAAAATGAGTCTTTACAGTACAGAAGTGAAAACTAACTTGTTCCTATGGTTTTGTTAGGTCTAAGCTGAAGCTGCCACAAAAGACTATGTCCCTGTGGTCCTGGGTGAACAGTTCTGAAGAGCTGATAAAATTCCAGAATCCTCTTTTTGAGGCCAACAGCCTTGTCATCTGGCCCTCTGTTGCCCCACAGAGCCTGCAGCTCTGGGAAGGTAAGCCAGGCTGGCTTTTTCTATTACAGGCAAATATATATTTTGTGGCTATTCCTAAAGCTTCTTAAGGGTTTGTTCCTGTTGTCTCTGCTCTGTGCGTAGTCTGTCTCAACTGATGGAGGTCTTTGAAGTCTGTTCCAAAGTAGTTTTGGCATGCGCCATCCCCAGAGGCATGATGCTTTTTCCTTCTGAGGTTTGGTACATGCTACTCTTTCCCAGGGAACCTTACAAGTACCATTTTACAGTACAGTGTTTCTACAGTACCTAATCCATAGATGTTCTGCAGACCTCATGGTTTTCTTCTATATCAACCAAGATTTGCCTTTCTCTGTTACTGGCCATGTTGGCCAGGATAATCTATGTGCAGTGGGTTCCCTGCTGTAGAAACTTTCTTCATCCCAGGTACAGAGAAACAAGGAGGCTGTCATGGCAGGGTGGAATCTGAATATGTATTGGTCTGATCAATATATGAGGAAAAAGGGAATGAAATAACCTCTTTAGTTTGGTTTGGTTTTGTTTTGTTTTTTTTAATTAAGCTTGTTTAATAGAGCAGTGAATTTGGAGAGTATTTCTTGGTCAGTATTTTTAAATGCTGTTTGGAGGGGAGGGTAAAATGCATAAACTGTATGTACATTACTTGAGAGCTAATGGAATATGAGTAATGATTCTTCTTTGTAACAGGGAAACCTTCTGATTTGTGCTGTCTCTGGACTTTCAGGTGTCTTTCTTCGATGGAACAGGCCTTCCAAGTTCCTGGATGAAGCCCAGGAAGAAATGATCAACATCATAAAATACAACAAGCAACTTCAGGCAAAGGTTAATGCATTGAGGAGGCAGATAGCAGAGATGGGAACAGATGACAGGATGTAGGAGAACCTGTGAGCTGGCAGGGCTTTGCCTCAGGTCTTTCCTTTCCAGTCCCCTTTATGTTAAAGACTGAACATGGAAAGTGCATGTATTACAGAGCCCTCTGGGTACAGCTGACCCTCAGTCCTCCCATTGCTGAAACCTCCACTTCACACTATGTACCTCTCTGCTTTTTGGGAGGGCATTTTGTTTTGTTTACAGCAGACTACATGACTGGGCACAGCGTCCTCCTCTCTTGGCAGCTTTTGTGTCTCAATATTGTGTACAGTGTCAGCAGAAGCTGGAACTCTTACCTCCAAGCAACTGTGTGGATGACCAGGATGGGCCAAGAGACCAGATGATTCAGATTTATTTTGGACTTATTCTGGTCTTGTTGAACTCTCTCGACACTCAGCAGGATGAAAGTACAAAGTTATGTATAGATAGGTAAAGGCGTTTTGTCTGAAAGCACGTTTTCTCCAAGAGTAGGTAAGGCAGCTTAGTTCCTTAGATTGTACCATTCTCTAGTTTTTCCAGGAAACTGTCTACAGGTTCTACTAGTCTATATGATACCCTCAGTAGCCTTCACATCTAACACCTGGGGTTTTTGTGTTAGTATTGGCTTGGGAGCAGTAAATTGAATACCAAACCAGAGTGAGAAATTTCAGTGCAATACAAAACTGAAGTAGGGATTCTGCTGCTAATGTTTAAGCCATGACCTTCAGGTAGAATTGTCCAGCATGGACGACTATGTAAGGAATAACAAACTTCTTTATTCTACCTGGAAAACAAAAGGGTTAAGTAGTTGGCAGAGGTGTTCACTTGCAAGACAGTGGCTCAGAGTTGTCCTTTTAACTAGAATCAAGCTGCCTTCTTGAAACTTTGAACTGCACTGGCTGGTTTTCTACACTTGAACAGCTTCTCAGCATTGGTGGGGTGCAAGAGCAGGGCTTAACCTGCAGCTCAGCAAAGCACTTTTGCTCCACCTGGTGTGCTTTTTCCTTCATGCTTTTGCAATAAATTTGTGAAATATCAAAAGCAGAAGTCAGAAGTTAAGGTGATCTGGCACACCAGGTAGCTGCTGCAGAAGAAGGGGCCATCACTACAAAAACACTAATGATTTAGATCATTTGTAGCTGCTAAAACTGCTTGAAGACTTTAGGGATAAGCTTTTTTCCAAGTAACTGTATTTTGTAGCTGGTCTTTGTGTTTCTGTGACTGAAGTCTGCTTTTATAAAATCAGAGGTTTTGCTAGAGAGTTTTTTCTCTTAAGAAAATAATACAGATAAGAGTGGGTCTGAAATATTAACTCACCTAGGCTTTTGTTCAGCTTGATTCCATTGGTAGCTGTACATGACTGAGAAGACTTGAATTAACGAAAGTGCACATGGGACTGTCTAAAAGGGCACTTGCTGTTAGCCTGTTCTACTGAAATGAATGGAGCTGCATCAGGTCAGCATTGATCTCTTTGGAAATGAGCTTCTGTGACAGTTTAATCTCCTTTTGGAATGAAGCTGCCTTTATTTAAAAGCCACTTCATATAAAGATAGATATATGTGAGAATGCAGCATCTTTAGCTGTCATAGAAGTATCTGGAGAGTAATTGCAAGAATCATGTAACCACTAAATATATTCCAAGACAAGTTCTATAACCAAGAAGCTATGTATAAGTGCTGCGTTAATGCCTTTTGCTTCAGTCCTTATTTCTTTACTTGTTTTCTTCTCAACTGACCTAAACCTAGGCCTAAAGTCATCTGGCTTAAAAAATAAAAAGATCCCTTTTAAACTGATGTTCACTTAAGGCAAAAGGGTAATTCCACTACTTATAATGCCTATTTCTGTTTAGTTTTGAAGAGTGACAGTCTTGCTCACTAAACGCAGTCTGCACATAGGGAACGCTTCCCAGGGCAGCTGTACTGCGTAACAGGGGAGGCACAAGTTGGCCATGCTTTCCTCCAGACGCTGTCTTCTGGAGCTGCCTTCTGGTTATAATTCAAATGTAAGCCCCTAAAGTTATTTCTCACCCTTTAAAATTATGTCTGTGGGATCTGCACCTGCCTGGGTGCTGTATCCATATCCAATTCAGGATTTCTACTGTTCCTGTACATGTGAAATGCATTCTCGCTAACCAGATGGGAAGGATTCAGAAGGCGTTATTTTCCCCATAATAGGCTATACATGAAGCACACTTAAAGGTTATGCAATTTCCTAACATAGTAATTATGTATTGAGCTAAATAATAGGGAAGCAAAGAGGGTTTTTTTTGATCTAATTGCCTGGCTGCTCTAGTCTCTCATGCAAACTGCAGGCATCTGAGGAAATTGGGTAACCAGCTGTGACAGCTAACAAAAGGCAGCAAATTCTCTCTGAGCTGGCATTTCATCCTCGACGGGTGTATCAGGACTGAATCCACACCCCAGTGCTGTGTGCTTGCCTCAGCTTAATGTGATTCACAGCCTCCATGTGAAAATGCTGGTGTCGGTCTGAGCAGCCACAGCAGTTTCTTCCCTCTGCTGTGTTGGCACTGCAAACAGCAGTGTAGTGCTTGTAGGCACTGCAAACAGCAGGAGCTGGAGGCTTGAATTAACCTGCAGGTCACCACCTTCCTGAGGTGTTACCTGGAGCAGTCCTGTAAGGTATTGCACATGATGTGTGGGCCCTTGCAGGTGGTACTGGGAGAAGACAGTTCACAGACCTCTTGTACCAGGCTACTTGCATGTTCTCTTTTAACCTTTCTGTTCCCAGTGCTTTCTAGGCTCCAGTCTGGTGGCTACTGGTGTAATACACAGTGGAGCACTTCAGAGCTTTGCTTACCCGTGTGTCCACCACATTTATTCACGTATTTAATGTTGATGATCAGCTTGCTTCCTCTTGGAGGGCCGTATCTGAACTCTGCCCCCTGAAGTCACTGACACCTTGTTTGCAGGTCACCTCATCTTCCTGAGCCGTAAGCACTGTGGCTCTGCAGCCTGACACTGCCTTACACTCTTGCTAACAGCCCTGCTTCTGCTCTTTTGCACATAGCTGTCTGTGTAATAAGCTGGACACTGAGGGCCCCCTTCCCCAAATTCTGGGGTAAATCAATGTGGACACTCTGCCATTTACCAAAATTAAAAGTAAAAGGGAAAAGGAGCTAACTTGCACAGTGTTAATAAGGGAATATATACCTTCAATATTTTGATTGTATTGATCTAACTCTTGAATGTGGCGACTGGTTTAAGTGCACTATTGTCCATGTTGCATATGATATAACTTAAATTGCACTGTACAGCATATTGGCGTCTAATGTATGCTTTGCTAGAGCCTTGGGAAGTGCTGCCATGTACAGGTTCCTGTATGAGGGGAAAACATCTCTGCTAGCACTCCCTTTTTTTTGTAACTGTGTGACACTGAATAGCACTGTGTGATGTGTGCTATGTATCTGTTAACTGCTACAAACTTCAGTGATGAGTGCACTTCTGTCCAGACATCTGGAATTGCTAATTGGACTTGGCTGCTGCATCAGTCTTGATATCATTTTACATGAAATAAGTAACAGGGCTGGGAGTTGCGTGCTATTATTAGATGTATGCTGTATGTGTGCAGAGTCCCAGCTGCTGTGGTGTGGAACATATTGCAAAAAGAATCACAAATATGAGAAAAAAAACTACCATGATTGAAATTGGGGCAGAAAAACAGATACAAAGTGATGTAAAGTTTGCTGTAGATATCTTGAGAACACAGTAGAAATGTCTGTTCAAATTAAAACCTTGAAGACTAAAAAACTCTTTAATTACAGTGCTGAATCTTCTTTATTAGTACTGCCTTTCCTTTCTATTGGAGGGATGTGTGTGTGACTTGGATGTAAGCTCTGCCTGAAACTTGGCATCTTTTCAGCTGATGTGCTCTTTTACAGCTGAACCTATGCCGTGATGGTAGAAGAGGGGTTTGTACTGCAGGGCTGCATGGAAAGAAGAAGGTTGAGACCCTGAGGCTTTGCACGGCTTGCAGAGCTCTGCTCACAGGAATTTGGTCCTTTGACACCAGCTATGCACATGATGGATCAACAATTAGCTAAGACTTTATGCTTGTATTGAACTCTCTAAAGGGAGGTAGGATGATGTTTTCAACGGGAGAGCGGTTCGGAATGAAGCAAAACTTTGCAAGAAGTCCATCAGCAGGCAGGGGGTCATGGTTATCGATGGCTTTTTTAAGGGAGGTGGGGTGCTTTAGTGTAATTGCTAGGCGAAGGAGTGAAAAAAAGGACAAACAGCTCTTGGGAAGCAGAGGCTGTGAACTGTGGAATCTCCTGGATCTCTCCTGGCTGGTGACTCAGGGGCTGTGTACCTCTGGGCTGTCTGTTTGCCTGTGGCATCATTCTTGGTCTCTGCAGCTCCTCTGGAAGGTGAAGAATTCTTGTGGGTTTTGGTATTTCAGCAGATGGAAATGTGTGCGTTTGCGCTGCCCTGCACATGTGCAGTCCTCTATAATAACACAGTGAGGGATACTGAAAGTTTAGATGTAAAAAGATTGATTTCAGTCCCTACTTCAGCAAAGTGCTTGCAAAAGTCCATGCTGAAACAGAGTGGGTTTATTTTAAAACATTTTTATCTACTATTAAGAGCAGCCTGATTTCGTGTAATCGTGCTTTTTAGAAGAAAGAAAGTCATGGACCCACATGTTGATATTTCTTTCAATTTAACATTCCTTCTTATGTTTTTATTTGAGCATGGGTCAGAAGGCATCACTAGTCCAACAGTTTAAAAACAAATACAGAAAGGCTCTGGAATATTTAAAAGGATGTAAAGCCATGTGCTGGATTCAGACTACAGTTGAGATGACACTCATGAAAACACAATGGCTTTGAGAGCTTGTATGTGTAAACAGGCGGCTCAGGGCAGCTGCGGTGGATTTATTCAGCCCATATTATCTGCCTGTAAAACACCATGTTTTGATTCAATGTATGGAAACACCTGATGGGAAGGAGTGGGGAAGACAGAGGCAGACTCTGCTTGGTGACCGGTCGGTGACTGACTTGAGCTCTAGCCTGGCTTTCCAAGCCTTTCTTTCTTATGTCATCTGGCACTGGCTCTGCCCCATCTTCCCCCTTTGTAACTTGTTTGCCACCTTTGACAAGGCTTTACAGGGTAAGGGACATAATTACCTTCCTACAAAGCAGCCTGGCAGGGAACCCATGCCCACATGTCCGCATTTCATGTGGATGAAATGTCCATGAGCTCATTTTGTGAAGTGCTGTGTTCTTCTGGCTGGTGGTGACTTTGCAGCATCTAAATCACAGTATCTTGTACGTGCTGTGGCACAAGTACATCTGGAGGAAGCTAAAACTCAGCAGACTGAGGCCACTGAAAACCCAGGTGTTTTTGCTTAATGCCGCTGTAGGGCTCTCTTCCATGCTGCCAATTGTTCACCCAAGCAGGAAAGTAAACAGTAAGAATAAACTACTGTTGTGCATTAAACGTAACTCAAGGATGCCAGACTATGTTGGGTTGCTCACAGTTTCTCCTGCTGTGTAAATGTCAAGACAAGCCTGTGGCATTTGTGTGTTAGAGCTTGAGATGCTGATCTTTTGATGCGCTGTTGCAAGAGTGTTGCTGATGGCTTTAGATTATTTTATCTGATGCTGCAGGTCATGCTAACTGAGGGGCTTACTCTTAAAGCTCAAAATCTGCTCCCTCAGTATCTTAAAGTACTGGCAGACAGCCTGCACAGAAGAGAAGGAAACTTCTTTCTGCTGTAAATATTGGGGGGTTTGGACAATTTTTGGCTGCTAATCTAGTAAGCAAAACTTGCTTGGGATAAAACAATTAGGGGGAACAAAAAGACACAAAGTTGTTGTGAATTCACTGGGTTGGTTGCATAAATTCAGTGTTTGCTTCTGCTGGTTTTTAGGCAGAACGTACTTCTGTTCTTGTTTACACAAAAGGAGTTGAAGTTCTTTCATACTGCTGTTTACCTTTTACCAGATATTGAGCATTGTGGGTCATAGCTGTGCTGTCATAGCACTCCGCTGCAAATGCTAAATGTTTTTCTGTTGCTGTGCAGTGTGCAGGAGATCTCTGCAAATGTGGGATGCTGTAAGAAAAATGTCCATTGAATGGACTGCTTGACTTACTGTGGTAGAATGCACAGAATCACAGAATGGTTTGCATTTGAAGGGACTTTAAAGCTTACCTACTTCCAGCCCCTGCCATGGGCAGGGACACCTTCCACTAGACCAGGTTTCTCCAAGCCCCGTCCAACCTGGCCTTGAACACTGCCAGGGATGGGGCAGCCACAGCTTCTCTGGGCAACCTGGGCCAGGGCCTCAGCACCCTCACAGGGAAGAACTTCTGCCTAAAAGCTCATCCTAGTCTCCCCTCTGTCAGGTTAAAGCCATTCCCCCTTGTCCTGTCCCTGCAGGCCCTTGTCAAAAGCCCCTCTCCTGCATTTTTTTGGTCCCTTTATGCACTGGAAGCTGCTCTAAGGTCTCCGCGGAGCGTTCTCTTCTCCAGGCTGAACAAGCCCAGCTCTCTCAGCCTGGTTCCATAGCAGAGGTGCTGCAGCCCTCAGAGCATCCTAGTGGCCTTCTCTGGAGTCAGTCCAGCAGCTCCACATCCTTCTTATGCTGGGGCCTCCAGAGCTGGACACAGGACTGCAGGGAGGGGTCTTACCAGAGTGGAGCAGAGGGGAAGAATCCCCTCCCTTAACCTGCTGGTCACACTGTTGGTGATGCAGCCCAGGACATGGTCGGTTTCTGTGCTCAGGTGCACACTACTGGGTCATGGTGAGCTTCTTACTGACCAACACCTCTACTTCTTATTTAATCAGTTGTTTCAGGGAGAGAACAGCAATCCAGACTTCAGCAGGCTCTGCTTCCTACATTTCCCTACGTTTGGGAAGGAAAATAAATAAATAAAAGGCCTTCCTGGGAAAAAGGCTTTCTTCCACAGATTCTCAATGGATACTTGCGCAACATCAAATACACAAAGTACCCTGGCTGCCCTGCCAGCAATTGGCGAGGCTGTCATTTCACCATGGGAAAGGCTTTTGCAATGCTGAGTTCAAATGCTGCTGTTCTCCTCCACCTCTTTTTCCTCCTCACTTGTGCCAGTTCATCTGTTTGTGATTCCACATGGTACATTGGATTGGAGAAACTGGTAAGGAGCCCAGCCAAAGGGAAAAGCCCTGCGGCCTGAGTCAGCATCTGCAGTGTTAAACACTGCAATTTAGATGCTTTTAGTAGTTGAGTCATAGGAAAGATGTGTAATGGGCCTTAATGAGCAGTCATCTAAGGCTCTGTCACTGCAACTGTGTCCTCATGTAGACTGGAAGGGTGATTGATTTTTATTTCTTTTATTATTCTTTTTATAGTTTCTTAGACATTTGACTGGGGTTTGTGAGACCCAAGTCCTGGTCCTACCACTGCCACAGATTGCTGGTGTCATTTGAACCATTATCTGCATCAGTCTTAGCTGAAGAAGTGCACTTTCTGAGTTGAGTGCAGGCAAAATTCCCTGTTTTCATGTGCCTCTTTTCTGTTTACTCTTTGGGACAGAAACTGCTTGGCTATTGTATAGTTTTGATCAAAGCTCTAGGCACTGCCCCACCTCTGCACTATCAGTCATTCAGTAAAGCCAAGGTAGAGCTAAGGGGGGAGAAGAGAGAGCATACCTCCATCCTTGCTCACTGCTCATCTTACAGAAAGCCATGTGTTTATGATTGTCAACAGCACTAAAGATATCTGGTCTGCAGAACTACCATACTCTGTGGGCATAAGCTTTGTATCATGCAGAGCAGCAAACCAAAGGGATAGCACGACTCCAAAGCAAGAGCTCCACTGCGTCTCTGGGTGTCCTGCAAGGCCAGGAAAAGCTCCTGTGCTCAGCTATCCAGGCACAGCGGGTTGTGGTAGAATAGAACAGGGAGAGTTAAAAGAGCACTAGTGGAGCCATTGGTTCCATGGCACTGTGCTGCCTAGGAGAAGATGGATGGTTTTTTGCTGCTGGAGACTCCCAACAGCAGAAGTCATTCTCTGATCCTTGCCCTGGCCCTTTTGGCAGTCCCACCTCAGAGGAGTGCCTCCCCACACAATGTGCGAAGGATGCTCCAGAGCTTGCCAGCTTCTGTGTTTTAATAATCTGCTCCCCTAGAAGAAGGCAATGGTTTGTATGCTGCAATTGCTGTGCTTTTATTGTATCTGAGTGACACCATGCTCAAATTGTTTCTGTTTTGGAACAGCTTGAAGGGGGAAAGAAAAGAAGTAGGATTAACTACTGAAGAAGCAGATCCTTATGGGGCTGGTGTGTGTATTGTTCTCCAAATTGGAAGCATTCTTAAATCTGTAACTCAGCTGCCATTACAGGATGGCACCTCCTGTATGAGTGAGGAAGACAGGGTGCTGTGCTATGAGGACCAAGCTGTCCCCCTTCCCAAGTTAAAATCGACCTTTTGCTGTCCTCTCTCCCTTTCTTCAGCTCCATGAATTTCTTCCTAATGAGAATGTTGCCTCAACACCTGGCCCTGATCTGACTTTCCCTTCCCTGTCATCACGGCCTTGAGAGGCAGAGCAGCTTTTTGGAACATGTCCTACTCTCTTCCCCTTGGGTCTTTTAATTTGCATTTCCAATATTCCTCCTTTCTCATGTTTCTGAACTTCAGACTGGCTTTTCTTGTTGGCAGTCTTAGGGACATGGATTAAAAACCCCAAACCAACAAATAAACACAAACCCCAAACAAAAAACCAACAAGAAAACCCAAACCCACAAAACCTAAAAACCCAGGTACCATGAAAAATGTAAAACATACAAGCGTCTCAGTAGTTTGTAACTCTCCCTCTCTCCTTTGAGTTCTTTTGGGACATAGAATCATAGAATAGTTAGGGTTGGAAGGGAACTTAAGATCACCTAGTTCCAACCCCCCTGCCATGGGCAGGGACACCTCACACTAAAACATATCACCCAAGGCTTCAACCACCCTGGCCTTGAACACTGCCAGGGATGGAGCATTCACAACTTCCCTGGGCAACCCATTCCAGTCCCTCACCACCCTAACAGGAAAGAATTTCCTCCTTATATCCAATCTAAACTTCCCCTGTTTAAGTTTGAACCTGTTACCCCTTGTCCTATCACTACAGTCCCTAATGAAGAGTCCCTATCCAGCATCCCTATAGGCCCCCTTCAGATACTGGAAGGCTGCTATGAGGTCTCCACGCAGCCTTCTCTTCTCCAGGCTGAACAGCCCCAACTTCCTCAGCCTATCTTCATACAGGAGGTGCTCCAGTCCCCTGATCATCCTCGTGGCCCTTCTCTGGACTTGTTCCAACAGTTCCGTGTACTTTTTATGTTGAGGACACCAGAACTGCACACAATACTCCAGGTGAGGTCTCACAAGAGCAGAGTAGAGGGGCAGGATCACCTCCTTCGACCTGCTGCCCACGCTCCTTTTGATGCAGCCCAGGATACGGTTGGCTTTCTGGGCTGCGAGTGCACACTGAAGCCGGTTCATGTTCATTTTCTCATCGACCAGCATCTTTTATCATGAACAGAGACTGTGAGCAGGATACAGCGCAGGTGAGGACTAGTGAGCTACAAGGCTGTGCTGACCACTGAGAAAGACACCCAAAGTGTCTTTGCTGTGCTGATGGGTGCTCATCAGGCAGGAGGGTTAGCCTCAGCTGCTTGCTGGAATGGAATATCCATGCTGCTGAGATGCCATCATCTGTCTGGGGTTGCGTAGTCACCCCTTCAGGCTTTTCTGCCTTCCCATGTTGAGGTTTTTCCTCTTGCACCTTGGAGCTGCTACCTATCAGATCTATGACAATCCTACCTCTGTCCTCGGTTTTACCTTTGTTATCTTGCAGGGCTCTGTGCTCTTTCTCACAAGCTGGCAGTCTTCTCGGTTCTCAGAGGCAAGGTTACCCAGCTGGGCTGTATCAGGGAGGCCTTGGAACACAGCTGAACCTGGAGGACAGGGTGGTTTCAGGGCCAGCTTGCTGGAAGCTCTATCTAGCTTGTGTTTGTCCCAGTTTAATGCTCCAAATGGTTGCCTCGGTGCTGGAGGAGGTAACTGGGTTATTAAATCATTCCTGCTTCTTTGTCAGTCTGATGGATCTACCATCCTGGCATGATACTGGTCAAGAAGAGGAATTTATAGAGCCAGGCTAGCAGATAGAGCAAACCCACCACTGCTCCATGCATTATCCTTCCTTAGTGGATAAGGCCATTTGGCTCAACTGCATGTGTAGATCAGGGCCTTGGGGACAACAGGATCTTTCCTTTTTACCTCTCCAGCATGCAAGGTGAGGTCTGTTTGCCCTCACTGCAAGGCTGGATCCATGGTGCCCTTCCTGAGAGCAGCCATGGAGTCATGCTAGAAGCTTTGCTCTTCCCTCTCCTTTGATTTGGTAGCAGACTCTTTAGCCTGGAAAAGTGATTGTTGAGGTGACGGTATGGAGGTCTAAGATATGTTGCCATGAAGCAAATAAAGGACAACAGTTTGCCTCACACAAGAATTAAGGTGCGCCAGAGGAAATTAACAGGTGGCACTTGAAACAACCACTGGTGCCATTTGGCAGGGTGTGTGGTTCAGCTGGGGAGCTCATGTCCATTGGACGTGGCAGATGCCAAGCATGACATGGGTTCAAAAAGGAGCTAAACAAGGGAAAGAAAAACCTATCAAGGGTTATTTAACACAAAGACATCAGCTGTGACCCGAAGTCGTGGAGCAATACGGCATCAGGATGCCAGGGAAGCACAACTCTTAGGTTTTCCTCGGTGTACTGTGCCCTGGCTGGCTGCTGCTGGCCTTTGAGCAGCATGTAGGCATCAGATGACCCTTTAGTTTGTTGAAAATACCACTCAGTCTACAGCAGGTGGAGTGATACTGCTGAAATACCCATAGTTTTGCTTCCCCAAGGGCTTTCAATGCCTTTTTTGAGGCTCTGCAGTCCAACAACAGAGCTCTTTGTGTTTATTTTCTTACTGCTGCTTTCCCTCTTTTAGAGACAGCTGGTTTTGTGAATGGTATTTAACAGTTCTTTCAAACTCAATTAGGCACTTGGGAGCCAGGAGTTGTGAGCACTCAGCTTCTATACCCAGCAAAGGATTTTCCCCACCTGCAGCCTCTGTTACACTATTTTCCCAAGACCTCTATGCTTTGTGAGGTAAGCTTTTAAAACTGGCCATTTTTTAGTGCATGAAGGCCTTGAAATGAGTGGCCAGTCCTGCTTTGTTTGCTCTCCTAACTTTGTGATGCTCTGAAATAATTTCATTCATCACTTCCCTTTGGAGGGGGGTGGAATTAATAAACTCAGGCTCTGTCCCACCCCTGAACTCACTTAAATCTTGTATCTATAACAAATACCATTTTTGGCAGGCTTGACAACACCTATTTGAAATGGCTGGACAATGAAAATACACTGCTTTTTCCTTCTATTACAAGTGTGTACCAGGGTACTGTGTTTTGTGTAGGGTCTTCTGCTCATGCCCCGTAGCTGTGCCCACGTACAGCCTAGCCAGGCATTCAATGATGTGATTAATGGCTGTTGCATGTGGTTGAGCCTGCCTCTGATCTCTAGGCTGGGGAGATCTCTGTGTGCAGTGGAGGGTTTTCTTTTGCTCGCAGAGCTCTGTGAAAGGTTTTTCTCTCAGGAAATTGTTTCTGATACTTTAATGCTGGTCTTTGTCCTGGCTGAAAATTAAGACCTGAAAATAAAGCATACACACATAGTTTTGTGTGACACCTTTTTTCCTTCATTTAGTTCAGCCTGACAGAGTATTTCCTTTAGGTACCTTTAACAAAAGCATTTTAATGTATCAGGATTTCTCTTTGGGCTGCTGAGCTAAAGGTTCCAGCTCAGTGAGCCATATGCTCAGAGGGGCCTGGGATACTTTATATGTTGTATTTTCATGCTCTGGACTCCTGCCCAGACAATGTCTCCCAAGAGCAGGTTACTGCCATGGGAAACAGCTGAGTTGGCTTAATGCAAGGATGTAAGAATGACCGTGCTGCTCAGAGTGGAGGTATGAGCATCTCCAAGCTTGGTCTCCAGCAACCAGCATCAGTGGATATGTAAGGAGGGAATATAGGAAATGGGATGTTTGCCAGACTCCCGTCAGAAGCAGTTCAATGACTGCTTGAGGCAGAAGTTGTATCTGGATTGTCACGTTTAATACTCACTATGGAGCTATCCTCTGCAAATTGCTTCTTGAATCCATGTTCCCTTTGGGGCTTGGTGATCAAGCACTTGGCTTTCTTGTTTAATTTGGAAAGGCTACAAGTGTACAGCACCCAAAGCTGCAGTCCCAGCAGGCAAACAGCGGCCTGAAGTCATGCAGCTTAACACTGACATGACTTGAACACTTTGGATCTAGCTCAAGAAAATGCTGACTTTTGATTTAAGGGGAATGAAAAAAAATAAGTTGAATGATTTAGGCAAAAGCCCCTTTTTGACCCCAGGACAATTTTAATGCTTTTTTGCTTTTTTAATTTCTGTTTCTTTTTTTCTTTTTTTTTTTGCTGAGATTGCTCTTTTTGTGGATGGAAAATTCCCAACCTGCTGGAGTTGGCAAGCTCTTGTTTTTAGCGAAAGCATATGCTGACGTACATTTGTATCTTCCTTGAAAAAAAAGCTGAGGATAAATACAGAGCTGAAGGCAGCATGCAGTTCCCTTCTCCCTTCCAACAGTCCCCATATTGCCAGTTTAGGGGGGTGGAAAGTTGTCAGTTCTAGCTCAGCCTGCAGGAATGACAACAAAATTATACTAATTAAAATATGAAGATGTAATTCCAACTCCATCACCTACCCTAGAGGGGACTTTACTGTAAACGCAGAAAGATCCCCAAAAGTTGATCTACAGCACTCATTGCCTGAGAAACATCAATTGAGAAGGAATGAAAAGCCTCTTTTTCAATCAAAGGACTGTTAATCTTCAAGAGCAAAGGTTTTAGACTCATCATGCTAGATTATAAAGATTATCTAATAGCTCTTTATGGAAAATGGGTTTCTTAAATGCCTTTTGCCTCTCCCTCGCTCGTAACACGGCGCCTCGTTACCCTCCAGCAAAGGCAAGAAGTTCTTAAGCTGATTTTTCACTGACAATCTGCATGCTGCTGGCTGCTCTGCTCGGTCTGAACAGCTGCAAGAGGTTGGTGAGTCTGTGGGAAAGGTGTCTGCCTGTCTTCAGATGAATCAAACACGCTCCTAGCACTTGATAAATGATTCTGCAGCTGTGGTAGTGGCTCCATTCTGCAGAGATGGCTGGTTTAGATTCCATCTGAAATGCATTTCAACTTGTCTGCCCTGAAGTTTCCCTCCAAGGTCTTCAGCCAAAAGTCAGCTTTGTTTTAGAGTGAAAGTTTCGAGGTTAACTGAGCCGCGCTTCGGAGGTGCGGGATTTAAGAGATTTAAGTCGTAGACCTTGCAGATTTCATTAAACGCACTGCTACGGTGTGCTGGGTTCAGATGTAACAGTTTTTTCTCTCCTTCGTAGTGGCTGAGGCAGTGCTGTGTTTTTGACTTCAGTCTGAGAACAGTGCTGATAATCCACTGATGTTTTTAGCAGGCTTTTTGCAGGTCAGTTCATGGAGGTTGCGCTCTGCAAGACCAATGAAACCCAGTGGTTCCCTGGACTTTGGTGAGCTATGTTGCGCAGTTGTGCCACTACTTCCAGATCTGGCAAGTCACAGATTTTGGAGCATCTG